CCACTCATGCACAGTTAACACAATTTAAGGTTGCACACTATATTTTGTGGTTATTCTGTTCAAATTTTAAATTCAGTCATTAAATACAAATAAAATGTTGACAACAAGGCACCTCTCAAATCACAGAACGAATAGTAAAAATCTGAGCGACATATAAAATGTTTTGCCAAAAAATATAATACTAGGTATTGTAACTAAGTTGACATACCCTGGCGTTGGTTGATGCCACTAAAATGACAGCCAGCAGTATTACTTGAATCTTCCACATCTTCACAGACTGCTATGACGAGAGAAAGCAAATAATATAATTACATAGAAATTATTATCGCATCCTCCATCAACTAATGAGCTGTATTTATTTTTATGCCAACTATGTGCACAAATTGGCGAAGCTATAATAAATGTATGCATTCAGCAGCTGAGTGACTTAATTGGAGGTTTCTTTCAACTGAACATATCAGAGTTGAACTATGCATTGTATGCTAAATTTATATTGGATTACTGAGAGGTAATTATTGAAAAAAAGACTGAATGAATCCTTAATTGTATTTTTTTTATCAATTCGAATTTGCTATTAGGAAAGGGATTCCTTGGCGTATATGTTCAACGCACAGCGATTTTCAAAATGTATAGAATCACCTAAAACGAAACAGCTGCAAACTAAACCAAATATTGCTGTCACTGTCCCCAACTGACTATACTTCATGGAGGAGTCAAATAATTTTAACCCGGCTATCACAATTATGCGTACAATATCCAGGTTTACTATCAGAACCATAAATAAATTTGAAATCCTTACAACATTGCTGGTAAGCTGAATTGATGCATATTCTACTATTAAACAGGATATTTGATCACTTACCCGGAGTTGACTTGATTAGGCTCAACTACAGATTGTTTTCATGGTAGGGGGAATTATTAAAAATTTCCCTGATTGAGAATGAGTTAATATTTTATCTCATGGAAACTTGGGTAAAGAAAATGGCATGATATAGATTCAGATGCAACAAATTCCCGATTGGATGATTACAAGTGGTATACTTCATTGCTCATGACGTGGCCCCGTTTGCCACAAATATGCATACACTGAGCACATAACATAAATACGCATAGCAAAAAATTATGCCATTGTAGTCATACTCACCCCATACACTCCAGAATAGAAATAAATTCAATGTGTCTAGAAAATCGCATGCAGCTCGGTTTAAAATATGCTGCAATCCCATTCTATATTCGAAATGTGCATGATAATACTCTTATAACGACAAAGGATGAACTGTAATGACCTATTCTAACATGTTTGATCTCTATATTTTAATTTTTTTACAATTACTGATTGATCTTTATTACTGTTACTACTGACCCAGAAAGTAATTACACAGAAAAAAAGCATATGCCGATTAGGTTGGTCACTCCACTCCGTCGTCAATGCGTTCTCCTCAATAAAAAATGTCAACAATTCATGACAATTTATATCCTTATAGTTTAGCTCAGTGCAACCAAACATTGCAAATGAAGTACACATAAGATGAACTGAAATATCAAATAAATAAAAAAAAACAATGAATATCATGTTTCATCTCAACACTAATACATTATGGCATTTTAAATCGACAATTCAATGAGTGGTAGACAGCGCCACCTAGTGGCAAAACAACTGACGTAATGCAGCAACATATGAGCAAGAAACCTATCACTAACATCAAATAATCACTTAGGAAATCATTAGGCATTAGGCATCTGTGAAATATCATGAGCAAAAATTACGTGAAATTATCACAATAAAGTTTTAAGTAAGAATTTCAAAGCACATGTTATTGCATCATGGGTACATAAACATTACATGCCCAACTCAAATTCACGAATTATCTCTCAAAACGCAATCAAATGATTCATGTCGTATTTGTAAATCTTCCCATGCACAATCGTAATTCAGAAGTTCCGATGTTCTTTGAACACGATTCGGCATAAAAGTATTAGAAAGTCAATAATTCCGCCAGCTGTCGCCAGTAAATTGCATATATCTGTTCGTTAACTGCTGCCTCCACAACAAAGTATTAAATGCAACTCGAACTATAGGTGGCACTATACCGTCAGCTGACAAATAGCACATCAATGTGAAATATAAGTTAGGGCTATATAACCTAAGTTATAATTTCAATGACAATGACTAAGTACAATAAATAAAGCAGTACATTTTAATTTGGCCATAACAATATATATCGTCATCTTTTGTTTATGTATGTTCTACTAAAGCCAGAATGATGATTACGATGGTGGTGGTGGTGGTGGGGGAGGGGGTGTAGAATCGTCACCTGTTCCGTTGCGGATCGTAGCTCGAAACAACCCTTGCAATTGAACTAGTATTTGATACATCAAATAGTTAGTCATTGAATACTAAAGTAATGTATTTTCAAATATTCATTTATAATTGATTTTCATGGATAGATTCAGAAGACAACTCCAATGTTTCATTAATTCTTAGTAATATGAAACACTTTTATTGTGCAAATTTACCAATAACTGCAGACTATTATTATAAACTGTATCTACACAAGCAGCAAGTATGTCAATTAGCTAATTAATAGGCAATTTTTGTTATTAACGTATATTAAATCTTTTTCTGTACATTGGCGAACGTGTCTGAGTGAACTGTTTAATAAACAAAGCATTTTAATTGGTATGCATATTAGACAATAATATGTAAAGATTAATTCCAAACTATGGTTTAGACATTCAACTAAACATACAGTATGTAGGGACAAAGTTTCAAGACATTTGAGTAACTAATCCTATGATACACAAAAACAAAACAGTTAACTATAGTAACTTGTGTAGTGAACAGTGGTCTTCTCGTGCTTGTATGGTTTGTGCCTATATTTCAATATCATTCCGACCATCTTCCAATGTGATCATGATTCCTTTTTTTATAAGTTGGAATTTCTTCAAATGGATTGACCTGTGGTGGATATGTAGTTTATTGTGAATGTTAAACAACTGTGTAGGAAAACATATAGCGATATTATTAATCTGTTGAGAGTTTAATCTGTTATAGTAATACCATTTGAATATGTCTGTAAAATTGCACAGAAACAAGGTGCGGCTGTTCAACAATTCGTCACTCGTTTAAGAAAACCAGCCAGAGATTGTAATTTTGCTGCTGAAAACGATAATCAAATCAGAGACGCTGTACTGAATAAATGCACTTCCGATTATGTACGCCAGAAAAAAAATCTGGAGGAAGGTCAGGGGTTAAACTTAAGCATGCATACTCATAATAGCCCGTGGGGGGGGGGGTACTTGCAAAAAATCTTGTCAGCCTAACCGTTTTGTCTTCATTACTTTTCTCCTTACTCATCGATGAGGTAAACAATTGGAACTAGAAACTACAGGTCTCCACATTGTGTATATTGAACACTTCTTTCTTCTGTACGCTGACAATCTAGCTCTATCCAGCTCTACGAATATAGGTTCACACAAATTGCTGGTTATACTATCACTATGAACAACTGAATAAAAGCTAAAAATAAATGGCAGATTAAATTCGTTTAAAACATGGTGCTTAGAATGTCATAGGTTAGACGTGGTATTGTTATCTCGGGATGTTGTTATATAGTTCTAGATACTACCCCAAATTAACTGAAAAAAATTTGTTTAGTGTCAAAAAAGGTTGATTTTCCGATGTTAAGGTAGAAGCCTACTCATAATTTTTGTGGAGGTTGGTCGTAAATCACATGACAATGTTCATTGGTTTATTGTGTAAAATAAGCTATTGTCCCATGACACATGAAAATAGCATTCATTTGTGCGTTTCAGTTACAATTCCATCGAGTACAGTGCTGAAAATAATGCACTCCCTACCCCGATTTCAGTAATAATTTAGGGCAACAACCTATGTCATCAGCCTACAATTTAAGATATGGTATAATATTTTTTTCCATATACACTCATGGTAAAAGCGGTATAATACTACCACACGATCAACTAAAATACGATTATTTTCTCGAACATTTGCATGAATGAGTAGGCTTTCAGATTCAAGAATCAAAGAACAATAAATCATGGTGTGTATACGATGTGTATTCTAAATGGGGATTTGTGTTAGTCATAAACATGTCAAATACACAACATAATTAATATCATATTTAAACATAACTTGTCACGTCATCTTGTTGTTGATGAACGATTTGTAATTTCCAACACCTCTCACCTGATGTATGTTTTCTTTTTTACTCTGGTGTTTATAAAACTTAAGTAATACAAGGGGTGCGATGCGTTGACAGCTACATGATCATAATCAAACAGATATGTCGAGTAATGCAATTCAGGAATGAGTAGCTAATTTACAACTGCTTCGAAATATATATGCTTGGGAAAACTCAGTTAAATTCGGTCTTAGTCGATATTTATCAGTAACGGACAAACTTTATCTCAAAAAAAACATTATGTAAATTTCGAATCTTAGCAAATGAGCTACATAAGTATTGGAACGGAGAGGTGGTAACAACGATTGTGTGATCAAATATATGCACTTTATACTTTGATTCAAATTGAGGATAATTTTAATGTACTATATCATTCCCTATGAATATCCTTTGGCATCATTCGATATGTTACTATAGTGATGACTGCATAGCATAACATGATGGTCGCCTCCAGATGCATGGCAATAAATATACGCCTATCTATGCATGGTTTCCCAGGTTAATTTATCAATACAAACATTACAAATTTCACTTTATGTTGGTATTTCCATTTAAAAAAAACTACTCTTAAATGTTGTCTCGTTTTGTCAAAATGTATATACTTTTACATGAAAAACCATGTAGAAAATTAAAAACTAGTAAAAAGGTATGTGTAGCTGATAGTATGTAGAAGAAATAACTTGTTTTGTTGATTAGAATTAATCTTCATTTTGTATTCACTATTTTTAAATGATGTTGTGGGTATACATCAGATCTACTAATTTGCTGAAACCCATTTTGCATATGCGTAAAATACTTTCTAAACTAAATTTTTGAAGCCAAACTGGAATGCAAATATAAAATATTATAACTATTTCACCACAAAAGAACTAACGCTCAAAACGCTTTGGCGTATAAGTTAAACCATGCAACAGAGAAGTAGATATAGCATACATGTACTCGTGTTTGCTGGACTAGAAAGGGAACCTAGGTAAAATATATATGCTGAGAAATGAACATATAGTTTTAGCAATTAAAAAAAAACCATTAGATCACCACTTATGTAGCTATTAGTTATACGAGCATCCCACATTCATGTATACATTACGTTCCAAACTTCCACTACATGATGTGAACGAAGCGGCTTCATTGACAGGGTCTGCTTATACGTGTGCACGTTCAATCAATGATGGTTATACATCACACACAAACACATCACTTAATATGCACGAATACCATCAGTGTTGTTCATTGCATGTTTATTGTATTCACATGAGAAGACACTGAACAGTGCCAGGCTAATCTAATCTATGTATTCAAAATAAAGTATCCCTCCACCATGCCTTCAACTCTTGATTGTTGACTTCATTTAGACCTCATAATGTCCTGCAAAACAGAATATAAGATTAAATAATACAATATTCATATGTATATTATATTCCTACATATACATCACCTGATATGCGTTGGAATTTACAATTCATAACCGACACCAACCACCGTGTTTAATAAGTTGTTTGCATGAATAATCATTACATTACACATGATGTCATTGTTATCCTCCTCTAATATTCTGGTTTGCAATTTCTTCTTCTATTGCATCTGCTTGTTCCGGGGTCAATATAATATCGGACTCAAATGCACCGGGTGATTCATTTTCTTCAGGTGGTTCAGAGCGATACTATAAAAAAAATGCTTTCTAATCAAATGACTGTAATACCAACGAATCGTAGAACCATGTCAAATGTTCATTGTGAATGTGAATTTAACCGTAAGTCATGGTCACTTGACGCATCCTTTATCGAGGGTGGGCAAGGGGGGTAGCTGATACAGTTTTACGGGAAGTAAACAGGGCTTTTTACAATTTACAAAGAAAAAAAAGACGTTTTTACAGTTTACAGTGATAAAAAATGGAACATTGAATGGTCCGAGGAGCTCTCCGACTCAAATTCTCCGCCATTGCTGCGCCGCGTGTATAGACGCATGCGCATATTACCCTCGTAATGCTCTTCATCCGGTTAGAGGGCCTTTTACGTCTTGACATTCAATTTTGCAGTGAATTGTGTCATCTAGTCGTTTTATAGTTTCTAAAATGTAATTTCCCTGGATTATTCTTTACGATTTTTTATTTGGATGTAAATTCTTGTACGTACCGAGAAAAATGACACATTTTTACAGTGTACGAAAAAAATGTTTGATTGATTACGTTGTACGTCTAGCCTGTGATTACAGAATTACGGAATTTATTTTTTCAATTTACGTTGTACGAACGAAAAAATATTGCAATTACGTTGAACGAAAATAACCCTTGCCCCCCCCCTTATCTTTTGTAATGAATACTCCTCATAAATTAGTGTCATCTATCATCAGCCCCTCAACACTGGTTTCTATATAAAACACAGCGTTAATCAGAACTCTTCACTCATGCACAGTTAACACAATTTAAAGTTGCACACTATATATTGTGGTTATTCTGTTCAAATTTTAAATTCAGTCATTAAATACAAATAAAATGTTGACAACAACGCACCTCTCAAATCACAGACGAATAGTACAAAATCTGAGCGACATATACAATGTTTTGCCAAAAAAATATAATACTAGGTATGTAACTAACTCTGAAATGACATACATGGCGTTGGTCGATGCACTAAAATGACAGCCAGCAGTATTACTTGAATCTTCCACATCTTCACAGATTGCGGTCTGTTATGACGAAAGAAAGTAAATAATATAATTACATTGTACATTAATATCGCATCCTCCATCAACTAATGAGGTGTATTTATTTTTATGCCAACTATGTGCACAAATAGCGAAGCTATAATAAATGTATGCATTCAGCAGCTGAGTGACTTAATTGGAGGTTTCTTTCAACTGAACATATCAGAGTTGAACTATGCATTGTATGCTAAATTTGTATTGGATTTACTGAGAGTTATTGATATAGAATGAAGTAATATGTCACTTATACAACCCAGAGACAGTAAGCAAATAATGCAGGATATAAACATTTTATAGAAAAAAAGACTTTCAAAATATTCATGAAATGAATCTCTAATTGTAATTTTTTTATAAATTACAATTTGCTATTAGCAAAGGGAATTCCTTGGCGTATATGTTCAACGAGCAGTTATTTCCAAAATATATATATTCACGTCAAACGAAACAGCTGCAAACTAAGCCAAATATTTCTGTCACTGTTCCCAACTGACTATACTTCATGTTGATAATATAGCTTTCTTCCCCGACATTTAATTAAAACATATACTGTCCGGACTGCGACATGACAGTTAAACGAATACAAGTTACTGGAGGAGTCAAGTAATTTTAACCAGGCTATTAAAAATATATGTACAATATCCAAGTTTACTCTCATAACCATACTCAGCTTATGAACGAGAAGATAAATTTTGAAATGCTTACAACATTGCTTGCAAGCTGAATTAATGCACCTTCTACTCAGTCGGAGTTTGACTTGATTAGGCTCAACTACAGGTTATAATCATGGTAGGGGGAATTATTCAAAATTCTCATGGAAACTTGGACAAAAAAACAAACATTTGTATTGCTTGACGATGACATGCTTTCATTGTCAGATATAGATTCAGACTGCTGAATGCTGACATGGCTTAATTTTCAGATATAGATTCAGATGCAACAAATTCAGGATTGGAAGATTAAAAGTTGTATACTTCATTGCCCATGGTGTCGTCACGTTTGCCGGTATATACATCTCAACATGCAACTAGATCAGTTAAATTACTTTCTGTAGAACCTGGGGTATCAATCAACTTGGGATAACTCAATTTATAAATATTTGATCAGCTTGAATATATATGAGAAGATGGAAGTATAATGGTTAAATACATCAACAGTATAACTATATAATTGTCTATAATCTATAAAGAATTATCGGCAACTAGGGGACATTTGATTTTGTGATGCCTTCATAATATTTCACATCGCATAAATGTGCACACACATATCACAAATGTGCATACACTTAGCATAAATACGCATAGCATAAATGTGCATACACATAGAAATGTATGCCATTGTAGTCATACTCACCCCTTAGACTCCAGACGAGAAATAAATTCGATGTGTCTAGAAAATCGCTTGCAGCTCGGTTTATAATTTGCTGTAATCCCCTTCTATTTTCGGAATATGCATGATAATACTCTTATAACGACGATGAATGAACTGTAATGACCTATTCTAACATGTTTGATCTCTATATTTTAATTTTTTACATTTATTGATTGATCTTTATTACTGTTACTACTGGCCCAGAAAGTAATTACACAGAAAATAAGCACTTCTGATAGCATATGCCGAAATATCAAATAAATACAAGAAACAATAAATATCATGTCTCATCTCAACACTAACACATTATGGCATTATAAATCGACAATGCAATGAGTTGTAGATTGACAGCGCCATCTAGTGGCGAAACAACTGACGTAATGCAGCAACAATATGAGCAAGAAACCTGTCACTAACATCAAATAATCACTTAGGAAATCATTGGGCATCTGTGAAATATCATGAGCAAAAATTACGTGCAATTATCACAATAAAGTATTAAGTAAGAATTTCAAAGCACATGTTATTGCATCATGGGTACATAAACATTACATGCCCAACTCAAATTCACGAATTATCTCTCAAAACGCAATCAAATGATTCATGTCGTATTTGTAAATCTTCCCATGCACAATCGTAATTCAGAAGTTCCGATGTTCTTTGAACACGATTCGGCATAAAAGTATTAGAAAGTCAATAATTCCGCCAGCTGTCGCCAGTAAATTGCATATGTGTGTTCGTTAACTGCTGCCTCCACAACAAAGTATTAAATGCAACTCGAACTATAGGTGGCACTATACCGTCAGCTGACAAATAGCACATCAATGTGAAATATAAGATAGGGCTATATAACCTAAGATATAATTTCAGTGACAATGACTAAGTACAATAAATAAAGCAGTACATTTTAATTTGGCCATAACAATATATATCGTCATCTTTTGTTTATGTTCAACCGAAGCTGGAATGATGATTTAGATGGAGGTGGCGGTGGTGGTGGGTGGGGGTGGGCGTTTTGGTTGGTGGGTGGGGTGTAGAATCGTCACCTGTTCCGTTGCGATCGTAGCTCAAAACAGCCCTGGCATTTGGATTAGTATTTGATACATCAAATAATTAGGCATTGAATTAGTCATTGAAAAATTATAATTGATTTTCATGGATAGATTCAGAAGACAGTTCCATTGAAATATGTTTTTTGTTCATTAATTCTTAGTAATATAAACCCACTTTTTTCATTGGTAATTATTATGCAAATAATAACTGCAAACTATTATTATAAACTTTATCTACACAAACAGCAAGTATGTCAATTGGCTAATTAATATGCATAGTATGTTAAAATTTTTTATTAATTCTTTTTCTATACTCTACTTTTTCTATATTCTATTAGCGAACATGTAGAAAGTTTCAACCTATTTGAGTAAACTGTTTAATAAACAAAGCATGTTAATTGGTATGCATATTAGACAATAATACATAAAGATTAATTCCAAACTATGGTTTAGACATTCAACTAAACATAGAGTATGTAGGGACAAAGTTTCAAGACATTTGCGTAACTAATCCTATGATACACAAAAACAAAACAGTTAACTATAGTAACTTGTGTAGTGAACAGTGGTCTTTTCGTGCTTGTATGGTTTGTACCTATATTTCAATATCATTCCGACCATCTTCCAATGTGATCATGATTCCTTTTTTTATAAGTTGGAATTTCTTCAAATGGATTGACCTGTGGTGGATATGTAGTTTATTGTGAATATTAAACAACTGTGTAGGAAAACATACAGCGATATTATTAATCTGTTGAGAGTTTAATCTGTTATAGTAATACCATTTGAATATGTCTGTAAAATTGCACAGAAACAAGGTGCGACTGTTCAACAATTCGTAATTTTGTAATTTTGCTGCTGAAAACGATAATCAAATCAGAGACGCTGAAAAAGATTCTGGAGGAAGGTCAGAGGTTAAACGTAGCATGCATACTCATAATAGCCCGGGGGGGGGTACTTGCAAAAAATCTTGTCAGCCTAACCGTTTTGTCTTCACTACTTTCCTCCTTACTCATCGATGAGGTAAACAATTGGAACTAGAAACTACAGGTCTCCACATTGTGTATATTGAACACTTCTTTCTTCTGTACGCTGACAATCTAGCTCTATCCAGCTCAACGAATATAGGTTCACACAAATTGCTGGTTATACTATCACTATGAACAACTGAATAAAAGCTAAAAATATGGCAGATTAAATTCGTTTAAAACGTGGTGCTTAGAATGTCATAGGTTAGACGTGGTATTGTTATCTCGGGATTTTGTTATATAATTCTAGATACTACCCCACATTAACTGAAAAAAATTTGTTTAGTGTCAAAAAAGGTTGATTTTCCGATGTTAAGGTAGAAGCCTACTCATAATTTTTGTGGAGGTTGGTCGTAAATCACATGACAATGTTCATTGGTTTATTGGTGGTGCTGGGCGTTGTAGAATCGTCACCTGTTCCGTTGCGGATCGTAGCTCAAAACAACCCTGGCAATTGGATTAGTATTTGATACATCAAATAATTAGGCATTGAATTAGTCATTGAACAATTATAATTGATTTTCATGGATAGATTCAGAAGACAGTTCCAATTTACGATATTTTTGGTTTCATTAATTCTTAGTAATATTAACCACTTTTTCATTAGTAATTATTATGCAAATAATAACTGCAGACTATTATTATAAACTTTATCTACACAAACAGCAAGTGTTTACTGATGACGTCATTGACTGGCCCCCTAGAGGCGAAATGACGCCAGGCAAAGCGGACTTTTGTCGTCTACTTCACAGCCTGTTTCATACTCGATATTGAGGGCATTTCACAGCACATACAAGTTGTTTATATCGCCAGAATTCATTCAATAGATCTTCATCGGAAGATCGGCAAATTCGGTATCATGCTATTATACTAGTATTTAAAATGCGTGATTATAGTTCTTTCGCCTGTAACTGTAACAACTCTCCTACTACAAGAATTATAATATTTCCAAATGTATCATAATTTTCAAAGAAAGAAAACTATATTAGGGTACGAAAACATCTAGTATTTCATGAATAATAATAATGTTTGAATAATAATTTGATCTAAGGGTATTCAATGTCTGTACAGATACTGTAATCACATAACTCTCGTTTTCTCAAAGGTAGCTTAAAAGCAGTAGAACCTATCAATATTATAGTAAAATTATACAAATGAGCATCTGAATTTTCATAGACATCCTCATCTTCAACAATACGTGGTTATTATTTTTTAATTGTGTCAGTGATAATATCATATACTTGGTCTCATAGCTGTCATTTTCTTTCCACCAAAGAAGATAGAAAAGAAAACGTTCTGAATCTTCTTGTTTTGAAACATATGATAATTTGTAAGTACCGGGAAGTTTGTATTTTTAATTGTTTCTTATCAAATTCTTCATGATCACAACAGTCATTTGTTTTTGAACGTCTTTTTGTATATATAGATACGAAATCAGCAAGGAACACATTTTGCATGATAATTAAAAGTATTGGATCGTAGGGCTTTATATGCGTTTATTTTGCAAGATATAGTCAAGTGTATCAATAATTATCGTTATATCACTTGGCAGGCAAAAGTAGACGAGTTTGCAAAAATGGAGTGCCATTTGAGTTATTCCCATGTCAGGACGCTACTGTGTTTGTCACGTTTCCCATTCAATTTGAGGATACAATTGAAGATACAAGTGCAATGTAATAGTCACTGAATATTAACACGTCAAGCTATTAATTTTGTTAATTCTGTTATCAACAGTACTCATACTAAATACAATGCTATACAATATACTCTGCGTCGGTGAAAAAATGATTAACCGCATGTTACATAAACCTCATAATGTTTAATAATAAGTTGTGCTTTCCGACTGTAAACTCCTTCACATATTCACGTCATGGTTTACGCCAATTGTTATAGTGAGTTTGGACCTCAATACTAGGTAGGCATTGATTAGATGCATGTCTTTCTGTTTTATCACTTTACATTTCAAGCTGATGTTGGGGTTTGTCACAGATACGTCTACCATTTGAAGAGAAGACAACGTTTCCCTGAATATTGTAATAACACAAATTTATCTATTATTTTTTAGCTGTGATTTTGAATATAACACATAAAGATCATCTATTCTTCCCAAATATTGTTCAGACGCAATTCTATAGGCAAAGTGTTCATACACAAAGTTAATGTCACGTGAAATGTGAAAACTAAGAGTCGAGTAGTTTCCAATTCCTTGAAATCGGTTCGCGATAGGAACCATAGAATTTTCAGTGAGAGGCCATGGAAGAGAGGCTTATTTGAAATTTCGCTAAGAACCCTCCATCAGGTTGTTATCTGTTACGGCAACCCCTGAAATGCGCTTGACAAGAAAAAGAATTCAATATATGGCCCCTATCTAGAGAACCGGATGCAGCCACGCGGACGTCGGTATATAACATATATGATATTATGTCAGCGTCAACATTTTGGCAATGATCGTTACTAATTGACACAGGAATGATTTATTAAAAATAAAAATCGGTGATGAAAGATAGAAAGTTATTGTCACTTTGAAGAGAAATATCACGATGTTTGACATTCTACAATCATATCACTGAAAAAATATACAATATATCATGAGCACTCCCTCCCCCACCTCTCGTAGTCATTCAAGGTTTACCTTTCCATTCATAAGTATGTGTGAAGATCGCCCTCATTGGTTAAAAAACATGCAACATATGTAATGCCGTTGCCGGGATTTATTCCGTATTATATTATGATTATGATTATGATTATGATTTTGAATATAAACTATATGACTGGCTTTAGTTATTTATTTAATAATTTAAGAAGAATAATTCAAAATATTTACGTATTTTGTACACGCGGGAGGCAATCGCTGTGAGAAAAACAGTTGTCGATTTATGATGTAGGTCATTATGTAAAATGATTAATGTTAAAGTTATATTGCTTACAATATTGAAAAACTAAACATTGA